TTTTGATTGGCTCACAAAGGAATTTACCAACGTTTGACTGCACTTTTCTGCCGCTTTGTTGGTCAAACTTGATTTCGCAAAATTTATTTATTTCAGTTAGCTATGGTATACTATGCGGTGAGGGTGGTATTACATGCGGGTCTTGCCCCGTCATTTTTGACGAGCTATACGCTAGTAAAACTATAAACTCTGACGACAAATTTGTTTATTAATTAGTTTTAGTTATCTCACGGTCCAAGTCTGTATAAAAGAACAAACAGCTGGGGGTCCTAGGCGAGAAGGATAGTTGCAACAGCAGATGTTTTTTTATACGGTACACACCAGGTGGCATTTAATGAACGTGCGGTTTACATTTTTCTGTAGTAAACTTAATAACTCATGTAATACAAATTGAAACGGGGGGGGGGGGACTCATTTTTATTTACCATCTGCTTCCTAATGTTAAACCTAGTTATCTATGTTTGTAATGTACCCTGGCCATGTGGTCTGGTTCATTTACATTTTCCACTTTTTTCTTTTTTACTTTTGGTATACTCCCCCTCCCTTTTCAGAAAAAACAAACAGGGTTCTTTTTTTGTTGTTCTTTGCGCGTTTACCGTGACGTATGACCACTAATATGTAAAGCCTTGTAACGTAAAACAGTCATGGGATGGATCTGCGAAACCGGTGGCTCGTACTGAATGTTCTTTCAAAAATGCCTCTTTATTTATTCACTTTTAAAGCTAGAGACAAAATTTAAGACTTACCGACAAGGGGAATAAATGAAGGGGGCCCAATTACTTTTTATGAGGAGGGGGATATTTTATAGTTACACTACTGCTCCGAATTGTTCAAAGAGTTGATGAGAGCAGCTAATAGTTATCTTTTCTATTGCTTGGTAAAATGTGTATTTGGAAAGTAAAACAGTTTTTACTTAAAGTAGGCATCTTTTTACAATACGTATGATTTATTTCTATAATATGGAAACTGAAGGTGGTCGATTAATGTTTAGACCAAATGCTTTCGACATTCAAACTTAATAACTATAATAAACTGTTGCCTGGAAATTCAAACACTGTCGCAATTAAAAGTACCACGTGTTTATCAGGTTAGGCCTACTTGACTGAACAAACATTAGGAAAATACGCCATTACAACAGGGCCGGGTGTGGCCTAGTGGTTAGCGTGCTCAGACTGTAAATTCCTAGTTCGAGGTTAATTGCCACAAAAACTCACTCAAACCTTTGGAGCTGCGGGTTTGCTATAAGAATTATGGTGAGACAGGAAAAGACTCAGGAGTTTGCGGCGGATGGTGTTGACCAACTGCTTTCCTTCTAGTGTATCAGTTCGAAATCATGGACGGCTTTGGCCAGAGAGTTGATTGTGTAGCTATGAACGAAAACTTCTAAACAATCCTTTAACATGTCTGCCAACTCTACCATATTAGGCAGGGATTTACTGAATTTAACCCCTTAAAAAAAGATCCCCCAAAAAACTACATTATTTACATCTATCTCTCCTGTGTTCGTATATTTTTATTTATTTTTGCTTTTTTTTTATTGAATCTCGATCATAATTCGTAAAACCGCGTACTAAAAGAAATTATGAAATTAGCCAATCAAAATGGACCTTACAAGTATTCGAGTGACGTTTGTAATTGTAATACGTTTTGGGTTGTTGAACTAGCACATACAATGTGACTAAAAGTGAAATAAAAATAATTTGGTTAATTTCGTTGAACTTTAAGTTTGCGAATGAACTTAAATAGAACTTGAAAAAGGTGTATAAATTTTATAACAAATTAAATTTTGTTTAAAATGTTTATACAGAAAAGAAGCAGTTGAAAGGCTGTTAGGCTCACACTAAAAGTTGTAAATGTCATTATAAAATTATAATTATGATGTACTTTGCAGAAAATTAGTTGTTGATTTGGGTCATGATTATTAAATCTAAAGCCTCTTGAAGTGCGATAAATTATCTTTGTAAAAGGGGTTCATTAACAAATCGCCTTTATGGCTTTCTAACGATAACCCCAAAGTTAGTTTATCCCCAAATATGTACTACACAACATGTGCTCGACATTCAGAGCTATTTGGTAAGAAAAATTCTTTTTTTACGATCAGCCATATGTTTGTTTGTTGTTCTCTGCCTACCACGGGTATCTAAACCCGAGTTTTAGAACAATAATCTCTCGGCTTTACTGCAGAGCTGCCGGGGGACTCGGCAATATGATTTATAAATCCAGACTTATTATGAGTTGTGTGTGTGAGTAATCATATTGTTTGATATTAGATCGACATTACCATAGGCGTTC